CTGAAGGCCTGGGGATGCTGAAGGCCTGGGGGATGCTGAAGGCCTGGAGAGAACAGAACCAACCTGAGTGTCCATCTCTCTGCCCTCTTCTGTTTTGTTTCCATCTTTTGTTTCCAGGACTTCTCTTGACAGGACAGAAGGTAGGCCAGCTTCTGCCCTCCTGTGCATGGAGGGTTTCACCTGGGCATATGTCTCTCCCTGAGGGTCTTCCTCAGGTGGTCTCTGTAGCAGGGAAGTAGTGAGGTACAGATAGTGTCACCTTGCTCCCCTAGGGCTCTCCTCTGGTCAGTTTTCCACAACATGGCCAGAGTGACCCATTTAGATGATAGCATCCCTGATGGAATATTCTGGGACTTCCTATAGTTCTGGCCTCTTATCCTGACACTCTAACGCTTGCTGTCTTGGCTGTACCCACACAGTCCATCTTCCTGAAAACTTGTTTTTGGGGGCAATAGATGTCTCTGTGGTTAAGAGCACTATGTTATAGAGGATTCAGGTTTGGTTCCCAAAACCTACATGGTGACCTACATTCATCTGTAACTCTAGTTCCGGGGTATCTGACACTCTCTTCTGGCCTCTGGGAGCACCATGCAGGCATGTGATGCAGAGACTTTCATGTTTGTAAAACACCCACAAACACAAAACAACCCCCCACATGTTTCTGCCCAAACTCCTTTGGTTCCTGCTTGCAGTTGTTAGATGTTTCTTTGGGCCTTTCTCTCTGGATGTCCCCTCAGAGGACAACCAGACAGATGCCAAGGAGACAGAAAGCAGACAATAGCAATGAGACCCATGAAGCTGGGAAAACCAGGAGAGGGTGAGGCCACAGCACATGGGAGGCAGGTGCTTGCAGAAGAGAGTAGTCAGCTCTGAATGTTGTTGAGGGCCAAGAGAGGGAGAACAAAGATGGCCCCTGGACTAAACTGGGCCCTATGTTCTTAGCACACAGATGGAGTCAGGGACCTCACCGAACTGTCCAGCTCATCACCATTCTCAGGTTTCATGTCCTCCACTGAAGCATCTGTCATGGCAGAAAAAACAGAATGTTTCCCAACCAGAGTCTAGGGCCCCTAGTTTCCTGCCTTACCCAGGTGGGGACAGAGAACCAGGGCTTAGATACACCTGGGTCTGTAGTGTGAAGTTCAGACACAAACAGAAAAGACCCCAGAGCCTGGGCACCACCCCTGCAGTGCTGAGACCTCAGACATCTCCCTCCCCAGGACCCTGTTTCTCTTACAGAGGCTTTCTTCCTGGGTGGCAGCAGCTGGGTTGGATCTGGAAAGACAAGGGGATGTCAGTCAGCAGTGAGGTGTCTAGGAGGTGAGGCTCTAGGTCTCTGGCCATGAGTTACCTCTTCTGGGGGCCCCTATCTCTGGTTGTTGGCACTGTAGTTCCTGCAGGAAGCTGCAATTCTGTCTCTTCCTGGGCTGCAAGAGAGAGCAGAGTCTCATCTAGGAGAGGAGGAAGTCCTTCCTCCAGGCACGTACGGGGAAGGAAGGAAGGGACCTTTACAACATGGGTGAGTGAGCCAATGTAACAGGACATGGTAAAGCTCACAGAATGCCTGACATTGCACAGTTTCTGAGATCATGTTCTTTCCGATCTGAGATCTGTAAACATTTCTAAACGACCCAGCCCCAGTTTGAGGTTTCCCTGGGGTTGGTGTCCTGATCCCCTGCTTGGGTGTTCACAGGGGAACTCATCACCACACGTGATCCAGGTCACCCAGACCATACTCACCTTTCTTCCTGAATTTGCCCTGATGCTTTCGTCGGAGAAGAAGGAAGACAAGGATGAAGAGGATCAGGAGGAAGGCCACAGAAACTCCGATCAGAGCTTGCAGGTATCTTTCCAATCCTGAGGCACAAGTGATATCGTGAGTGGGGACTGTTGATGCTTATCTGAGCACCTACTGGGTGACAGGTCCTATTGGACCTTTGCACTCATCATCTCCCATCCTCACAGTCGTGCAGCAAGGAATTGTCTGTTTTCCTATCCAGACAGTTCACCTGCCTGCCTCAGATCATGACTGTAAATGGCAGAGCTGGGAGTTGAACCCAGGGACTCTGACTTTTAGCTCTTTTCTCTCTACCTAAGCTGAGTTTCATCCTAAATGCCCTGCCATGGCTCTGTGCCCCACCCTTGCACATGGCACCACCACTGTGGGGCAGACCCACTGTTGAATCAAGTTCTGGAGGCCTCCTTTCTCACAGTAGAGGTGCCAGCTGAGGTCAGAAAGAAACTTAGACATGTGGCCCCGTTTATATTTAGAGAAACATCAGCCAGTTCAGAACAGGAAGGGCTTTTCAAGCCAGCATCTCCAGAAGTAGATTTATCAAGCCCACAACTACTTATTGCCCATCAGGACCCACCTACCAACAGAGTCCTTATTAGCGCTCTGGGGCCTGCCTCCATCCATGCAGGTGAGAGAATTGTTCTTAGGGTCTTAGAGGTAGGATGGGCAGACAACGTTCATCTCACCCACCTGGCCCATCCTCTAGACTGAACTAGAACATGTCTTTCTGGATGCCACCTTCTGTACCCCAACCTCTAAGTCTAAGGGCTTCTGGGGTCTGTTGGAATCTCTGCTTCTCTCCTTCCCTCACAAGCTGAAGTGACAGAGAAATAAGGGCTTTGGGGATGGACATACTCCCTGCACTGAGGTGCGTGAAACTCACCATCTGTTGTCATAGGCCTTGAGGGTGGTGGGTTAAAGGCTTCAGAGGGTCCTAGGAAACAGAACAATTGGAGGGTCAGGGCTAGATGCTAACCCAGGTACTTGCCACTGTTCACTCTTCTACATCTGCCCTGTAGCCTTCTCAAGATCCTCATGTTCTCTATCCCAAACCTAGATTGCAACAAAGGATGGAGTGAACATTTCCTGAAGGACCCCTGCTGGTACCCACTTCTCTGGCAGGGAACCTGCCTTCTGACTAACCTTTCCTATTGTCCCCTTAGTCCCCTCAAAGTTAAGGACTCTCCTAGGGTTTGGATTATAAATCACCACTACAGTTTAGGGTCACCTCACCTGAGACAGTGAGCTCCACAGGGTTAC